CCCCGCCTGGGCACTGCTCTGTGCCCCGTGGGCCGCCAGACCCCTGGCCGGCAGCCTTGCCGAAGCCTCGGCGCTCACCTCGGAGCTGCGTCTCAGGCAGGCCCGGCACCCGGGCCTCGCGTCCCTGCTAGGTCTCCACCCTCACCTTGGTCGCCTCCTTTCCTCCACATTCGCCCTTCATCCATCCCTCTCTCCTGCAGTGCTTGCGCTCCAGGCCCGAAAGAAAAGGACCAAGGCCAAGAAGGACAAAGCCCAAAGGAAGTGAGTCTTGAACCCCAACATCCTATTCTTTGGATTTCCTCCCGCACCTCTTCTCTGGTTTCACGTCTTGAACGTGCACCGGGTTTGGGCACCCTGCGGCCCCAGCCACATGGCTTCGCGGTGGCCTTGGAGGGTCGCTCTCCATGAACCATGTGGAAGGCAGCGTCTGTTGCTGAAGGCCAGGCCTGGGTTTAAGCCGCAGGTCTGCTGTAAAGGACTATTGGAGGAGGACCAGAGGCCCTCCGGTCATTACCTCCCCAACTCCAGAGAGGAGGCACAAGCTCCCCTAGTTTGGGCCTCCCAACGGAGCTGGTGGATCATTATCAGCCTCCCCATGAACTCTGGTCTCTTTTTCATACCTCCTTCCCAGCGTCTTATCTCCTACGTCTGTCTGCACGGTAGGCCTTTAGGGAATTCTTGAATGAATTTGCCGTATTTTGGTCTGCCAGCTACATGCTCCCTTTTTTTAGAGGAGGGCATGGAGCTAGCTATACGCAGGGTAGGTCAACTTCCTGCGGAGCCTGCAGTGTGCATTCAGAGCACTGTATACAGAGCCTGTTTCTCTTACTGCTTCGCTTTTTAAATCTCAAGTCCTCACACTGAAAGCAGATACCTTCTGGAATGGGCATCACAATAGTGACGGGAAAGTTCTTTAGCCGACAGTGTTGGTTTTTCTGGTTTGATATATTGAGTGCCGCATGTCCGGTTTTACCAGCAGGATGCATAACCATGGTTTAGCGCTATTGTGGGAAACACAAAAGTTGGACACGGCTTAATAGAAACGCCCAGTAGAGGGCTTCTGCAAGTGAATCTTACTCTAAAGAATTTTTATCTTGGACTGTTTAATTGCAAAGGGACTTGAAAATTGTCTTTTAGACAATTTGTGTTCAGAAGTGCATTATTTTCTTGACACTTTTCCATTTATTTGATGTTATGTAGAGTCGTATATCATCTAATTTGTGAGCTGATGAAATGCGTTTCAGAGGCTTTCCTAGGTTACCTTTCTTAATGACAATACTAGATAGGGATGTATGGTGTTTTTGTGCCTCCTTAATGTTTGCGGAGAGCACATAATGACTTAGAGCTAAAAAAGTACCTACTTAATGTTTGCGGAGAGCACATAATGACGTAGAGCTAAAAAAGTGGTAGGTGACCTAACTTCTTGCTCCATTTCTATCAGCTGTGTTATGAAATTTTTTATTTTGTAAAGTGCTTAGTAACATTTAATTGTGAGTTTAATATATGTTGTGTGTGGGGGAGGGGGTTGCTTCTTGATTATCCATGTATAGATTATTTGAAAACCAGTTTTTAATCCCAGATTGGTTTAATGGAAACAGCAAGGAGCTAACCTGGTTTTAGTATGCAGTGCGAATTTAAATGTTACTCATTTTCTTTTTGTGCGTTAGTTTTGTTATTCTCTATGGAGCTGATGTGAATATGTTATAAAATGGTTTTTGCCGATGTAAGGAGGTGGTGATTTTATTATTCACTGTATTATTTAGAAGTCATTTGTCTTGGTGTCTCCACATGGAAATTGATATCAGCCAGAATCGACCTCTGATTTGGAGGTGGGTATAATATAGGTGATCATATACTTTAAACACAGATATTCATTAGTTTGGATTATCTATTTAGACCATATGCTTATTTCTAAAGCTGAATATATGTACTTTGCATTATCTGTTACTTCTCCATTCACTACTGTGAATAACCTAGAATTGTGTTCTTAATTATTGCATTCTTGCACAAAAGCAAGTGAATAGTCCAGATAATCTAGCGCTTATTTTGCTGAATATTTCACCTTGGGCAGCTTTAACTCCTGCAAATATATGTGAATGAACCAACCCCATTTACTTGTTTTGTCTTCAGTTAACATCAATTTTCTTGATAATTTTACCTTTTCTTTTGTTTCTCCACCCTCCTCTTAAGTAGCTGAAATGTCTAATTAATTAACTTAGTTAGAGTATTGTGTCACAAGTTCAGGCCCCACCTGAGTCAAGTTCCATGACTTCTGACTTCAGTCATTTTGCAAAGGTGAGCTGTTAATTACCAGATTAGTCAGGCAGCAGAGGAAGAAGCATGCCACAGAGTTTGGTGAGAATTAGGTTTGAATTTTAATTTTGTCACTTTTTAGCAGTCTAACCTTGGATAACTTAGTTAAGGAAACAGTCTAATATGTTCTTATGTCTGGTAGCACAGTCATAATGAAAACTGATCAGGACCTGAAGTTACAAAAACCAAGCATTTAAATGAAAAATTTTAGAAACTTTTGAAAGTAGAACAGTAGTTAGCATTCTGGTACGGTAGTCATGGTGTGGTACCAGGTAGAAAGGATTTTCAATCCCCTGATTTTGTAGATCTTAAAACTAGAACCTACAAACATGAAATAATATGCTCATGGAGCTGGAGCTGGTTGTAGCAGGGTCAAAACTGGAATCCAGGGCTCCTGTCTTCCAGCTCAGTGCTCTTTAGGATGTTTCCTCTGGGTCCTTTCACTGTTGACAGATTTTACTTTAGGGATTTTTAGTTGTCTTATTTGAATTCTTTCCCCTTTTCACTTCTTCAGACACTGTATTCTTAGTAACCTTAATTTGTTGGTGATAATCTGTATTTTACTTTACAGAGAAGGAAATTGAGATTTGTCACATTACCCCCCTATAAAATTGTAAAGTTGGGATTCCAACTGAGGTCTGACGTACCCCAAAGCCCTGGGTACTAACCACTGCTGTCTCCAAGTGATAATTCCTTCTGATGTGTCTGAGAACAAATAAGGTACAAGCTAAGTGAACTGAGGCTTCTGAATAAGGAACCTCAGGATGCCTGGGTGTTTAGGTACCCTTTCGTGGCCCACTGGCTCTGTATCTAAAAGGGCACAATGCTCTATCTCCCTTTGAGCATTTTTCAATATGTGTATACCTATAGCCATGCCTTTATCTGTTTGTCATAAGCTTTTATAATTTAACATATATGTCTGCTTTTGAAATTGTTTCTATGGAACATAATTCCAGAATAGATTTCATGTCTAATAATTTTATTACTTAGCTTAGGAAGTTAATTTGGACAGAAATTTTTCACTTTATTTGCAGTTAAACGAACTGTATGGGGTTAGTATAAATTTCGCAGTAAAATTATTTAAGCTGGAGAAGTGCTTTTGCTCATTGTAGTACACACTGATCTATGGAGTCAAAAGGAAGATGGTTTTATTTCTCAAATTTCCAAAAGTGTGATTGTTACGTTGAATATTTAGAAAAGAAAATACTTTAAAATTTCCAACATTTTTATCCAGTAGAGAGTACATAAATTTGAAACAATTTTAAAAAATTAAATGGTATTGGATATTTTTTACAGTTACGATGTATCTTGGTTCTTTGTCAGTTCCATATAGTGGAGCCTTACTATTTTTTTTAAGTTCTGTTTTCTTCACTAAGTCTTAGAAATGGTTCCATATTAGGACAAAGAGAGTAGCTTCATCTACTATTCCATTAAATGAATGTATCATAATTTATTTGAGTTCCTATTAATAAGCAAGTATACTTCTTAGGACAAAAATTGAATCATTGGGTACACTTTTCCCAGTTAACATCATGAATATTTTTCATAGTATTAAATATTACACATTGTTTTAAGTGTTCCATTGTAGGCTGTTCCCACTTTTTCACAATTCACAGTTAACGATGAGTAATCTTTTGGATAAACAGTGCTCACTCACAACAGTGATTATTTCCTTAGGATAAGTTCTTGGAAGTGATATTGCTGGTGTGTGCATTTTAAATATTTTTAATTCATGTTATCAAAGTTTTTCTTAAGAAAGAGTTAACCAGTTTAACTCCATTCATTAAACAAATAGTTTTTGAACATCTACCATGTCCCAGGTAGTTTTCCATCCTTGTGACACATCAGTGAAAAAATATATATTCCTATCCTTGGGAACTTGATTGTAATGGGGCGAGACAGAGAATAAGGAATAGACACAATAAGTTAATTACATGGTATGGTGGGTGATAAGGTAGAAAAGAGAGTAAGGTAAGGGGGTGTTAAGAATTTGGGGACTGAGGATACGGTTTTAAATAAGGTGAGTGAGGCCACATTGAGAAGGTGACACTTGAAGGAGATTAATAAAGAATTGCTCCAGTATTGGGGGTAGGAATACTCTTTCATCTCTTGCTTCGCCGGCAGAACTAGGCATTATTATTTTAAAAAGCTTCCTAAATCCAGTGATTTATAAGTTACCTTGTTTTAATTTAGTTTATTATCAACAAGATTGACCATTTGGGGTTACATAAATATATATATTTTCTTTGACCTGCACCTATTTTTTGCCCATTTTTTATATTAGATTATTGATCATTTTCTTGATCTTAAGAGCTATTTAGAATTACCTTTTTTCATATGGCACATTTGTATTTCTCAGCTTGTTAGCCTTTCAAGTTTCATTTATAGTGTTTTTGATATAAATTGACTTTTTCTAAATGTAGCTAATCTTTCTTTTACTTTGCTTTTTAGGAATTTCCTTTACCTTTGAAATCTTCAGTTAAACTGTCGTATCTTTAAAAAACTTGCATTTTTAATTTTGTGTGATTCCATTAAAGTACAGACTTGCAAAATTGCATTTTGCAACTTTGAAGTGAGTAACTTGTTGACAAGCTGAAATGGTGGGTGCTTAGGAACTCCCTTTTTTTATAATGAAGGAAAGATAGTCTCGTCAACTAGAATTCATTTTCACTATATTTTTTAGCCTTGGTGGAATAACTACAGCAGTTCCCCACCCCCTTTAGGTAGACTTTTGCCCCATACTTCCCAAGTCCTTTCTAATGCTAGTTTGGGGACTAAGTTCATTTTTATATTGGCTAAAGTATTATTTTAATACTTCTTTCATTGTAATAATTAATTCCAAGCAAGTAAGAAAATTCAGATCGCCAAGAGTTGGGTTTTTAATTTTCCTTTCCAGGTACAAAGCAAATAATGATTTAGCTAAGGAGAAATAGATTTCTAGATGTATT